CTCTCACAAAATGAGCGACACGTGAGAAATGTTCTCCCTCTGCCGCCGGAATTGCCATCGTTGTGTGCGCCTGCAAAACCAACATTACAATGGCACATACGGCAAATCAGAATGCTACTATCCCAACACCCAGCAGAGACGAGATGCCTAACACGGGCAACACCTTGCAGACACCAAGCGACAACCCAGCCACGACGGTCTTGAAGGCTAGTGCCTGCCCAGGAACCACACCTGGCCGTAGGAGATAAGGAGGGAGGCGGGAAGGAGCAACGTGTTTAGGGTGGAAGGGGACGATGCCAGGGATTACGGTGATAGGGGGGGGGTGAGCAGTAGGCATTTATGGAAGCAACAACCGGCATAGGGCACAGCATTGAGTGTGGGCTGGCGGATGCGGTGGAAACAGCAATGGGTATAGCATGGAGGTGGGGGTAGGCAGCAGCAATGGGCGTGGCGGGGGTAATGAGTAGACGCCAGTGGGGGACGCATAAGCCGGGCTATGGTTCGGCTAATGACGGTGAAGTTCAGTGTGCTTGTAGACTATAGCGTCATTTGGGGAGGCAGAGGTTTGTAGGATGGGACCTTGTGGCTTGTAGGGCATTTTCTACTGATGAACCTGTTTGTTGGTATGGTGGCTTGTTTAATTAATATTAAGCTGGGTTTAGTGCTTGATGTTGTGAAAATATGTGCATGAACCGCGCAATGATGTAATACCATCTAATCCCAAAATAACTACACAATTGGACATATTTTGGTTTGATTTTAGGCTGATCCAGGTCCAATCTAGTCATACCCTGGTTGGTGTATTTTTTGGCCAAAAGGTGTATGTCCAAGTACACGAAAATTGGTCCTGGTTTTGGTGTCCAAAATTGGACTGGTCATGGTCCAATTTTGGGTCGAAAGTACAATTTTGGTCAAATTTAGGCCCAAACTAGTGGCCCTTACTTTGTGACGGTCTCACGGGCGGACGGCGCGTCTCACCGGCGCGTGGTCGTATTTTCTCGTTTTTGTAATTGGTTGCTTCGTTTTCCTCGTTATTCCTCGTTTTTCCTCATTATTCCTCGTTGTTTTCTCGTTGGTTTCTCTCTGCCATGGTATCATGATGGGTTGAGTCGTCATGTGAGCAGGTTGTTAGCTTAACGAGGAGTCTGCGGGCGTTTCGCGGGCGGACGGCGCGTCTACCGAGGCGCTTGGCGGCGCTTCCATTTCCTTTTTCTCGTTTCTGTTATGTTTGTTTCCGTTTTCTTGCAATTTTTCTCTCTGGTTTTGTATTTCTCTATGCCGCGATATCATGACGTGTGGAAACGCCATGTGAGCAGACTCGCAGATCTTAGGCAAGAAGAAAGCTTCACATGAGGAGTCTGCGGGGTTGTGCGAGCGGGGTTGGGGCAGGGCGGCAGCGGAGAGCGAGGGTAGCCCCAGCCCGACCTCTCCGCTCCCCCTCCCGCTCCACTGCCCCTTCCGGCACTGCACCGACTATCTTCACCGACTTCCGGCACTGCACCGACTATCTTCACCGACTTCCGGCACTGCATTCCCTTGGTAATCTGTCATTCCGGTTTCTTGCTTTGGTTTTTTTCCAGATTCTGACTTGTTCGTGTGTGATCTCCTTTAGCGCAGGAGCAGCAAGAGTGGGAGCTATGGCGCTGGAGGCGCGACGGGAAAGCGAGTTCAACTTCAAGCTTCACGTGGTACGCTGTCAATTCCGGTTTACCATTGTTATTTTATTCAGATTCTCACTTCTTCTTTTGTGCTCTCCGTTTTAGTGCAGCTCACGGCGTTGGCGGCGACGGGAGAGGGAGTTCAACTTCAAGCTTCACGTGGTACGCTGTCAATTCCGGTTACCATTGTTATTATTTTCAGATTCTCACTTCTTGTTTTGTGCTCTCCGTTTTAGTGCAGCTCGCGGCTTGGGAGCGGCGGGAGCTCACGGCGCTAGCGGCAACGACTCATCCACGTGGTACGCTGTCAATTCCAGTTTCCTTGTAATTTTCTTGCCGGATTCTAACTTCGTGCTTCGTGTGTTAGTGCAGCTCACGGCGTGGAAGCGAGCGGGAGCTGACGGCGCTAGCTGCAACGACTCATCTTACGTGGTACGCTGTCAATTCCAGTTTCCTTGTAATTTTCTTCCCGGATTCTAACTTCGTGCTTCGTGCTTTGTGTTATTAGTGCAGCTCACGGCGTGGAAGCGGGAGCGGGAGCTGACGACGCTAGCTGCAACGACTCAGCTTACGTGGTACGCTGTCAATTCCGGTTTCCTAGTATTTTTTTTCTCCTGGATTTTAACTTTCTTGCTTTGTGCTCTGTGTCAGTTGGAGAGGACAACGGCGGGAGATGGCGGGAGCCAACGGCGGGGACGACACGACGGCGCTGGCGGGGCGGGGGCAACGGCGCTGGCGGGGACAACGGCGCTGGCGGCGAGGAGGGAGGTCCAAGCCGCGTGGAGCGTCGTCCGCGGAAGTTTGACCCCCCCCCTCCCCTCCCCATCCCCCTCCCCTTTGCAGATTCGGGTTTGGGTGGGTTTGGGTGGGTGTAGTTAGGCCGCGCGCGCGGGGGTTGGGTTGGTTGGGGTCAGGTACTGTAATTTGGTACAGGTGCGATTTCCGCGCCTCTTCGGGCAACTCTTCTGACAACCTGGCATCTCTTCAACCGAGGAGCTGAGGTGTTTCCCGCCGCTACAGTAATAATTTTAACCCTCCCCTTCCTTTTTGATATTGTTTTGTGTTTCCCCTCTCCCAAACAGATCCCGCACGAATGACCTCCACCTCAACGCGGTGTGCGGGTGTAACGCTAGAGGCATTTGCCTCTAGCGGCCAAGAGGGGTCATGAAGACTCGAGAAAGCAAGACTCTCAAGACCCAAGCTGAAGCCTCAAGCTCAAGAAGAACCAAGCTGCTCTGGATGGCGCGACTGTAGCAGCTTTAGCAGCTTTGCATGCTAGTTAGTTAGTATTCTATTACGACTTGTTTGTTTGTAATTAATAGACTTAATCAGTTGGCTTTACGAGCAGTTTGCTCTAATAGTGGACTCTATTAGTTGTGTGTTTTTGTTCTAATTTACATCTGGTTCTCCATGGAAAGAACGAGATAAGACTTCTGCTAGCAGGACTTCGCCATGACTAGCTAAGATCACGCGTTAACTTTAGTCGCCGTTAACTATGGTGTTCAGTCGTATACTTTTTAATGAAGGATCCCTATCAATGCGTTCAGTCGCATCGCGCTTCGCCTCCCTATGTTCGAATTATTCTTCCCCTTTTAGCCAGATCGCCACGAGAGGATCCATATCGTCGCGCGTAGTCCCATCGCCCATCGACCCATCGCGCTTCGCCTCGTCGCCGTCCGCCGAAAGCTCGTCAGATCTATTCTCCCCTGGCGTGATTCCTACTCTAGCCTCTAATTTCCCCGACATCGCCTCTTCCGCTCACATTTCCTCGTCGCCGTCCGCAGGAAGCTCGTCAGCTCTATCCTCTCGTAGCCTGATTCCTACTCTACCCTCTCTCGTCCCCGACGTCGGCGCTTCTCCTCGCATTTACTCTTCTAGCCACCTTTCCGCCTCTATATCCCTTTCCGTTTCGACCGATGCTCTCCGCAAAGCTTCTGCTTCTACGTGGCAGATAGCCGCTCCATCCACGTGTGAGATCAGCCCCGTGCGACCGGCTGAAGCGCGCCATGACCCCAATCGCGAAGCCCTAGCCGGCTGTGGAAGACCTACTGCTTTAGTTGAGTCCCCTTATAACGCGGATTCGCCATCAAATGATGCGTCGTTTTCCAGAAGCGCGCCGAGCGGACTCGATGATGATTTCCAGTGTTCGACAGTATATCAGAATTCCAGTAGCTGCCGCGGGAACAGGAGGATTCAGCATCACGAAGACCACCGCTACATTCACTCCGTACAAGGTCACACTCTCTCCAACCATCCACCTACAGTCCATCAAATTACAGCAAAATCAGCACGATTCTTCCATAAATGCCACCGTATCCCTGACCTAATGTCACGTTATGACATTACCTCACGCAAGCACGTGTCTCATAAAGAGTCGCCTCGAGACTCTGTAGCGGGTACAGCGCGGAAGCTACACATTAACCACCATAAGCCTGGGAAGATGTCGTTTTACGATATGACGGTGGAGAAATACGCTGCGCTGCCGCTTAACACCCTGACACTTAGCCAGATGCTGGCTCAGGGGGAGGAGGCGCTTAGAGACCCCACTTTCATGGTGCGCAATGCACGGTGGGTGCTTAGCTAAGTGGGTGAATGAATCTGTGCTGGTTAGTCTCTAAGTAAGTCGGTAGCTACTCCTATTCTCAATTGTTAGGGTTTCGTGTTGTTACTTTCCCTTATGGCAGTACATGTTTCATTATGTGAGTTTCCATACCTGGTTGGCTCTGTGTGTCTTTGTTTGTTTGTTTTTCGTTTTCTCGTTTCTGTTTTCGAATAAGTGTTTCGATGTCTCTCCCTACCCCATTCATCCACTCCCCCAGATTCGTTCATAAAGAGATGCCTATAAGGCTGGCGAAACGGCTCATGGATCTTCAGTTCTTACCCCACATAGTCGTCATCAACCCCCACATCAAGCAGGTAGGGCTGGCTCCGAATTGTGGTCCCTGTAGATCTACAGTGTACAGTGCATGGTAAGTAGCATTCTTGTCATTGTGGCGAAGCGGCTGAAGGATCTTCAGTTCTTACCCCACATAGTCGTCATCAACCCCCACATCAAGCAGGTAGGTTTTGTCGTGTATGCATGGTAGCTGTGGGTCTACAGTAGTTTATAATACTACGCTTATCACTTTGGCAAGATGGCTGATGGACCTGCATTTCTTACCCCACATCGTCGTCATCAACCCCCACATCAAGCAGGTAGGCCTGTGGCTGTATGTATTGTCGCTGTAGATCTACAGTCTACAGTGCATGGTATTGACATGCTCACAGCGTTCGTTCGTCCTTCAGTCTCACTGCACATGCATGTGATGCTCCCATTCCACCCATGTTCATCCCTTTTAACGCATGCTGCAGGTGTATGGTTCCTATCGCCAAGCCTTCGACTTGCTCACTACGTTCCTATTGAGCCTCACTCACTACGCATGCATATGCATGCGCGTTTGCAGGTTTCCCACTCTTATGCAAGTGGGTGCACCCACCCACATTCTGCTCCCACCCACATTCTGCTCCCACCCACATTCTGCTCCCTCCATCCCATCTGCAAGTGTATGACTCCTACCGCCAGGTCATCCGCATGCTCACTGCGTTCCAATTGCGTTTCACTGAATATGCATGTGATGCTCCCATTCCACCCATACCCATCCCTTGATTCGCACGCAGGTGTATGACTCCTACCGCCAGGCCTTTGACATGCTCACTGCGTTCCTCTGGAGTCTCGTTGTGCATGCATCATGCATGTGATGTGATGTTTCCATTCCACCCATGTTCATCCCTTTTTACGTATGCAGGTGCACGACTCCTACCGCCAGGCTTTTGACATGCTCACTGCGTTCATCGGTGCGGCTTGTCTCAGCATGTGTGCTTGCATGTGCTCCCATCTTCATCTCCCCTCTCCCCCATGTGCAGGTGTACGACTCCTACCGCCAGGCTTTTGACATGCTCACAGCATTTCCGGAGATCAAGACTCTCGAAGACAATGTGAAGTTCACTCAGATGCTTACCATGGTGCGTGCTGCTGTACTTATAATGGGGCAGCCTATAGCGGGTACACCACATTCCATCGTGGACATGCTCACAGCATTTCCAGAGATCAAGACTCTCGAAGACAATGTGAAGTTCACTCAGATGCTCACCATGGTGCGTGAAGGGGCAGTCCATAGCGGGTATAATGTCTTCTCTTTGCGTTCTGTGTTTTCAGAAAAGGAATAATGCTGAGTGTGGGAGAGTTCCCCTTAGGATGTCACACGTACACATACACACACCCCTCTCCACCGCTCTCCACCCCACTTAACCATCATCCATCCCCTTGTGTGTCTCAGCTGGTGGACGGTCGCTCGCCGCTGCTGGGGTGCTGGCACGGGGGGTGAGGGAGTGCTCCCCTTAGGCTAACACATGCACGCACACCCTTCTCCACCCCTCTCCACCCCACCCAACCACCAGATCTACCCGTGTGTGTCTCAGCTGGTGGACGACCACACGTGTATCCTGGGAGTGCTGGCACGGGGGGTGAGGGAGTGCTCCCGTTACGCTGTCACATACACACACCCCTCTCCACCCCTCTCCACCCCACCCAACCACCATCCATCCCCTTGTGTGTTGTGTGCGTGACTCAGCTGGTGGACGACCATACTCCACTGCTGGGAGTGCTGGCACGGGGAGAGAGGGAGTGCTCCCCTTTAGGCTGGCACACGTACACGCAACCCCCCTCAACCCCTCTCCACCACACCCAACCACCACCCAAATCCCCTTTTTTGTGTCTCAGCTGGTGGACGACCATACGCCTCTCCTCGGGGTGCTGGCGCGGGGGGTGAGGGAGTGCTCCACTTAAGCTGTCACATATGTACACACCCCTCTCCACCCCTCTCCACCCCTCCATGCATGTACCTCAGCTGGTGGACGACCATACGCCTCTCCTTGGGGTGCTGGCGCGGGGGGTGAGGGAGTGCTCCCTGCGACCGCTCGTTGGGAGAGAGCTAGACCTAGACCCGTTTTTGGACAACATGTGAGTCACTGTGTGTATGATCGTCTCTGTGACTGCTTCCGTGTATGTGTGTGCACTGGCGGTGGTGGTGGCCCGGTGGGGGGGTGAGGGAGTGCTCTCTGCGGCCGCTAATGGGGAGGGAGCTAGACCTAGACCCGTTTTTGGACAACATGTGAGTCACTGTGTGTATGATCGTCTCTGTGACTGCTTCCGTGTATGTGTGTGCACTGGCGGTGGTGGTGGCCCGGTGGGGGGGTGAGGGAGTGCTCTCTGCGGCTGCTAGTGGGGAGAGAGCTCGACCTAGACCTCGTCCTGGACAACATGTGAGTTACTCTTTGTATGAGGGACTGCTGCTATATGTGCACTGCCAGTGCTGGTTTCTGGGTGGTGAAGGGGGTGAGGGGGGTGAGGGAGTGCAGTGCTCTCCCTGCGACCGCTAGTGGGGAGGGAGCTCGACCTGGATCCCTTCCTGGACAACATGTGAGTCAGCATGGGAGTGACTGCTACCATGTGTGCAGCAGCGGTGCTGGTGGCCGGGTGGTGAGGAGGGTGAGGGAGTGCAGTGGGGAGGGAGCTTGACCTGGATCCCTTCTTGGACAACATGTGAGTCAGCATGGGAGTCGCTGTGTGGGTCTGATAAGGGGCCAGACTCAAGTGCTCCCTGCAGCCGCTGGTGGGGAGGGAGCTCGACCTGGATACCTTCCTGGACAACATGTGAGTCGCTGTATGTATGAGTGAGTGTGACGGTGACTGACTGTGTGAATCACTGCATAAGTTGCTGCTTCTGTGTGTACGCGCTCACGCGCTGGGGACAAAGGAGTGCTCTCTCTGCGACCACTCGTTGGGAGGGAGCTAGACCTGGATCCCTTTCTGGACAACATGTGAGTGGCTGTGTGAGTGACTGCTTATGTGCGTTGATACAGGAGGGAGCTTGACCTGGATCAAGGAGTGCTCTCTCTGCGACCACTCGTTGGGAGGGAGCTAGACCTGGATCCCTTTCTGGACAACATGTGAGTCGCTGCTTCTCTTTGTGAGGGCGTGTTCTGGAGATTCTGCCACAGGAGAAAGAGGAGGAGCGGAGGGGGAAGGAGGGAAGAGGGGGGATTAGGGGTTGAGAGTGAGGGAGTGCTCACAATAACGGTCACTTGCAAGTGTATCCTCACCAATTCTCATCACATGCTGCGTTCCCCCTATCACATGCCGCACCCACCACTGCTGCGAATCAGTCGCAGAGTAGTTGCAGAGCATCACATCACATGTGACTCCTCACTCCCACGTGATAAAAGAGTTGTTTTGAAACGTCTCAGAATGACTCCTCACTCCCCTCTCACTCCTCCCCATTCCATTGACTCCTCACCTCCTCACTCTCCTCCCTTATTCTCCTCAACCTCCCCCTATCACAGGTTGCGGTTGCGGATCAACCGCAGGGTCATTGCGGAGCATCACATCACATGTATCTCCTCGTCCCCATTCGCTCCTTGAGTATAGCAACTTCTCACGCAAATACTCTATTCACTCCCCTCTCCCCACATACCACAGGCCGCGATCACCCTGACTCATTTTCGAAGGGCTGCAGTAGTAGAGAGAACGCTTAAGCAAAGGAACAACAGTGAAAAATTTGTGAAAAAACGCAGATCTGAAAAACCCTTAGCTTCCGAAAAGCCTCCTTGCGTAAACTAGTTTCGGCGGATGGGCGAACCCAATCACGCCTTCATCAGTACAGCACAATTCGGAACTCTATTCACTCCCCTCTCCCCACATACCACAGGCTGCGATCGCGAATCAGTCGCAGGGTCATTGCAGAGCATCACATCTGCCTGCAGCACCAACGGCCAGGATTCATCGGCGTCATCTGCTCCCAGGTGCGTTTCATCATCTTGTGTTTCAACTTGTCCCCATACGAGCCTTTACAGGAGCTAGCTTATGTGGAATATCAAAAGCTAGCAACAGTTAAGTGGTGCCTTATTGTTCTCCTTGCCTCTCCCCTCTCTTAACCCCTGCATGAGCTGTCCATGCAAGCAGTGGTGGGGGCAGCAGTCAAGCAGTGCACATATGTCTGCCCCTCTCACCGCCCCTCCCACGACCCGTCTTTGAGAATTTCCAAAAAGTGACTTCCATATAGCTCTCCATGCGAGCAGTGGTGGAAGCAGCAGTCAAGCAGTGCACGGACGTGTCAAAATAGACCCCTTCCCTCCTCTCTCTGACTCCCCTCTGTCTTCCTCCCCTTACATCAGCTCTCCATGCAAGCAGTAGTGGAAGCGGCAGTCAAGCAGTGCACAGATGTCTCTCGACGCACGTTCGGATTCTGCCCTGAATTTGAAGTGCATGGGGATGTGCACTCCACTTTTGCTTACGTGCCGGCACACATTGAGTACATGCTCTTCGAGATACTCAAGGTGCGTTGAGTCAGAAAATGTCATGTGCGTGTGTGTGTTTGCTGTGAACCTGAGTTCACTGTGCATGGGGACGGTATGTGCACACCACCTTTCCCTGCGTGTCGGCACACATTGAATACATGTTCTTCGAGATTCTCAAGGTGTGTTGAGTCAACATGTGTCGGTCGGAATCAACTGAAATCAACATGTGTCAAATCAGAGTGCTTCATGTGCACTTTATTCAGGACGCTATTGCAAGTCCTCAAGACACCTTCTCCTGTCTTCCCTCTCCTCCTCTTCGCACCTAAATTCTTACTTTCACTGCCCAGAACGCATCGCGAGCAGTGGTGGAGCATCATCTCAGGAAGGCTCACGAGGAGGGCAAAACAGCCTCCCAGGCGACCCTTCCCGCCCGCATTGCTGCCCTTACATTCTCTCCTTCCTCCACTTCCCACCTTCCACCCCATTCCCCTCTACCAGAACGCATCGCGAGCAGTGGTGGAGCATCATCTCAGGAAGGCTCACGAGGAGGGCAAAACAGCCTCCCAGGCTACCTTCCCCCCTGTTACAATCACAGTCTGCAGAGGTCACAATGAAAGCACGATTAAGGTATGCATATCAGTAAGCAGTGCGGACCTTGATTGTGCCAGAGGCGCATTCTCCCATCAAGTGTTATAACAATCACAGTCTGCAGAGGTCACAATGAAAGCACGATTAAGGTATGCATATCAGTAAGCAGTGCGGACCTTGATTGTGCCAGAGGCGCATTCTCCCATCAAGTGTTATAACAATCACAGTCTGCAGAGGTCACAATGAAAGCACGATTAAGGTATGCATATCAGTAAGCAGTGCGGACCTTGATTGTGCCAGAGGCGCATTCTCCCATCAAGTGTTATAACAATCACAGTCTGCAGAGGTCACAACGAAAGCACAATCAAGGTAAGTAAGCCTCTAGACAGCTGTGTTAGAAGAATCTCAAAACCCCCACACGCAATCACACTGTCATCCAAGTGCAAAGTTCCTAGCACCTGGCTAGCAGTGCAAGATGTGACTTTTGAGACGCCTCAAAAGCCGACAGTGCAAAATGTGACGACTTTTTATGCTCCTCAAAAGTGGAAACCCGTACACGCAATCACGCTGTCGTCCAAGTGCAAAGTTTCTAGCACCTGGCCAACAGTGCAAAATGTGCTGATCATTCCGGTTTGGTTGGGTTTGATGTGGTGCTGGCTGGCAGGTTTCGGATCAAGGAGGGGGCATTGCGAATGAGCTGAAGGAGAAGGTGAGCTGTCATGGGGACAGAGGAGGAGGAGGAGGAGAGGGCTATTCAGACGGTTCAAAAGTAGGCCTGGAGTTTGATATGGGCTGCTGGCAGGTGTGGGATCATGGAGGGGGCATTGCAAACGAGAATGATTGACGGAGAAGGTGAGAGGGAGATGGGAGGGGGCGGGGAGGGGTGAGAGGACTAGTGAGATGAGATGAGACATCTTAAGAGTACGGCTGGAGAATGATTGACATTGGTCTTGACATCTCAAGAGAACGTTAGTCTTTTGGGGGCAACGGCAGTGGTATGAGTTGTGTGGGTTTGGGTGGGATTCTGCAAACCCAGATACTCTTGAGTGGCCAATCGTTTTGGAGAGCAATGGAAAGTTGAACTCATTTCCTGCACTGCACTGCATTTGTCTGTACCATACATCACCGCGATCAGCCGCACTCTAGCCCCTTCTACCACAACCCACCGCATGATTCAGGTGTGGAGCTATGGCTTTTCGTCACTGGATGAGGATACAGAGGCAGGCCCAGCTGCAACTGCAGGTGTGTGTGTGTGTGTGGAAGGGGGGAGGGGAGAAGAAGGGGGGAAGGAATGGGATACACTATGCTTCACACTCCCACTGGAACACCTGCCCTGCCTCAAGGTGACTTTTGAGTCGACTCAAAAGTCACCTCGTTACCATGGCACACGAAGGGGATACACTATGCTTCACACTTCCACTGGAACACCTGCCCTGCCTCACTTCTTGGAACACCTGCCCTGCCTCACTGGAACACAGATGAAGTTTTTCCACTGCTTTAATTCTTCCTACAACCCCTTTACCCACTCCCCCTTCCCCCACTCCTTCCCCTTTCCCCCGTCTCCAACCCCCCCTCCCGACTCGTGTGCGACTTGGTTCAGAATACAATACCTTCCCCACTCTCTCCCCCTCCCCGCTTCTCCTCCCTCCTTCCTCTCCCCCATCTCCAGGCCCACAAAAGGACAATGGCCGAAGCTGAGTCCGGCCTTTTGAGGCGTCTCACAATTCAAGAAGGCGTCTCACAATTCATGGCAGCCCAATGGCCGGACTCAGCTTCGGCCTTCCCCTCTCCCTGCTCATGTGTGACTTTGGTTGGCACTCTCTGTACCGCTCTCCACCCCCCTGCACCTTTTCCTCCCCCCATGCACCACTTTCTTCCCCCCTACACCACTTCATCTCTCCTTGCTCCAGGCCCTCTCGACTCGCATGGCAGTCCCATGGCTGGATTGGGATTCGGCCTTCCCCTCTCCCATCGATTGCACCTCTGCTTGACACTATCTGCACCACCTCCCACCCCACTCTACCGCTCCCCCTCCCCCCTCGCCAGGCCCTCTTGACTCCCATGGCAGTCCCATGGCTGGACTGGGGTTCGGCCTTCCCCTCTCCCATCGATTGCACCTCTGCTTGACACTATCTGGACCACCTCCCACCCCACTCTACCGCTCCCCCTCCCCCCTCGCCAGGCCCTCTTGACTCCCATGGCAGTCCCATGGCTGGACTGGGATTCGGCCTTCCCCTCTCCCGACTCATGTGTGGCTTTGCTCGGCACTCTCTGCACCACTCCCCACCCATCTCCACCACTCTCCCCTACCCCCCAGGCCCTCTTGACTCCCACGGCAGTCCCATGGCTGGATTGCGGTTTGGCCTTCCCCTCTGCTGGGCACTGTCTGTTTCCCCTGCACCATTCCCGACCCCCCTGCACCTCTCCCCATCCCTCCGTCCCAGGCCCTCTTGACTCCCGGCAGCCCCATGGCTGGCCTGGGGTTTGGCCTTCCCCTCTCCCGACTCATGTGTGACTTGGTTGGCACTCTCTGCACCACTCCCCACCCATCTCCACCACTCTCCCCTACCCGCCAGGCCCTCTTGACTCCCACGGCAGCCCCATGGCCGGTCTGGGATTCGGCCTTCCCCTCTCCCGTTTGCACGCGCAGTACTTTGGGGGAGACATTGAGGTAAGACGTACAATCCGAGAGTTATGTTGTTAAGTTCCACCAGAACTGGCCGGACTGGGGTTCGGCCTTCCCCTCTCCCGTCTGCATGCGCAGTATTTTGGGGGGGATATTGAGGTGAGGTGTAGATTGGGTGTCTAATCTGGTTAGTTGCTGATTAACTTGCCCAATTTGTTCTGGCCTTCGATTCTTGTGACTGCATTGTTATGGCCCGCGCCATTTTACCTTTGTCCCTCTTTCCCCCCACCTTCCCCTTCCTGTTGTCCTCTTTATGCAGTTCTTCAGTATCCCTGGTTACGGCACGGATGTCTACATTAGAGTGCATAGACTGGGCAATCACCAAGAGGAATTTGAGATCTGATCTTCAATTAAGATTTGACCAGCTGTTCAGTATTCAGTGAAGGTTACCTGCTTCCTGCCATATACAGCACGTACACAGTATGAAGTTCTTCAACCATTCTTTGCTAGTTCCAGCACTTCCTTCGTACACTGTACATTGAGGCACTAAACAAATACCGTATCTTACTGGCTCCTTGACCCATGATGGAGGGTGTATTTCTGTGAACTTAAAGCCCGGGTACAGCATGGTAATTTTCAAGTTCAAGATTCTTGAACTTGAAATCGCAAAAAACAGGGTTACCCTACTTGTTTTGAAGAAACTCTCGCACCCCCAGGCAATCGTCCTGCGACAACGGAACCCGAGTGCCCAAAAACAGAACTGACACGATGATCGCCAACCATATGCACTGTTCACCACTCACATAACTTGCTTACCAAGTCGTACTCATAGACTAGGAGGCTCCAAGGCAAAAACTAGCGCTAGTTGGCAAAAGCGAGTCGTTGTTAGGGCTTTTTTTTTGTGCGGAAAAAAAAAATAGGTGTCCACCTCAACCATCTTAGTCAGTGCACGCTCCGATTTCCCCCTCACGTCGCCGGTCTCGTGTTACAACCCGTTCACCCGCAGCACTTACGTTAGTGAACAATCGTCGCGTTACTCGCGCCTTGCTTTCAAGCTCGCGTCGCACAAGATGCTCTTTTCACACTTGCTGCGGTTCAGCCTCGCGTCCCGATTTTACCGTTTTAGGCACGGGTCGCTCACGCGAATGCCGTACAGGTTCGCCAGACGCCCGTCACCCGCGCTTCCCGTCGTCGCCCTTGCTTCCCCGTCACCCGCGCTTGTTCTCATCTCTCGCTCTCCTCCTCAACGTCTTCGTTTCCCTCGTCGCCATAACGCCCTCGCTTCTGCCCGTCGCCCTCGCCTCCCCACATACCCGCCTCCATCTCCCCCACATACCACCCACCTTCCTCCCCACATTCTATTCCGCTTGTCATACGCTCTTCTCCTCTTCCTCCCTTCCATCTCTCCCTCCCTCCCTCTCCCTCTCTCTATCTCTCTTTCTTCGAACCTCTCTCTCACCCTTTCTTCCACCCTTCTTCCTCCTGAGGGGAAGGGACTGAATGAGAGACACAGAGGGGATAGGACAGAAGGGTATGCAGATGTTCTTTTCCCCCACGCGCTTCCCCTCATCGCCCTCACTTCCCCCAAATCGTTGCCCCCTGTCTCTGTTTTTCCCAACCACCCGTTCTCCCACCAGCCCTGCTTCCCCCTTTGCCTTGATTCCTTCCACCCTCTGCCCTGCTCCCCCCCATCCCCTTCCCTGCTTCCCCCCACCCTCTGCCCTGCTCCCCCCATCCCGTTCCCTGCTTCCCCCCACCCTCTACCCTGCTCCCCCCCATCCCCTTCCCTGCTCCCCCCCACCCTCTGCCCTGCTTCCCCTCATCCCATTCCCTGCTTCTCCCCACCCCCTGCCCTGCTTCTCCCCATCCCCTTCCCTGCTTCCCCCCATCCCCTTCCCTGCTTCCCCCCATCCCCTTCCCTGCTTCCCCCCATCCCCTTCCCTGCTTCCCCCCATCCCCTTCCCTGCTTCCCCCCATCCCCTTCCCTGCTTCTCCCCATCCGCTTCCCTGCTTCCCCCCCTCTTTTGCTGCTTCCCCCTACCCTCTGCCCTGCTCCCCCCCATCCCCTTCCCTGCTTCCCCCCATCCCCTTCCCTGCTTCTCCCCATCCCCTTCCCTGCTTCCCCCCATCCCCTTCCCTGCTTCCCCCCATCCCCTTCCCTGTCTCCGTGTTACCCGTTTCCTTGTCCCTTTTCCCTGTGTCTCCCCACCCTCTGTTTCATTCCTTCACCCTCGCACACCTTACCGCCTGCCGACCTTACCGCCTGCCCACCTTACCACCTCAAATCCTTCCCTTCTCATCCGCGCGCAGGTGTGGCGGAAGGTGCACGTGCTGCCTTGTGCCTGCCGCTTGCTGTCCACGCCTTCCATCCCACCTCTCCCAAACCACGTCTTTTTCTATATGTGCCTCCCCTGCTGGCCCATACCCTCTGCTGATCTGCGCCCTATGAGGCCGTGCCCTCTCTATTCCCCGCCCCTGCATGTACGGAGGGATTGGGAGCCGCTTTGCCTAGCAGCCAGCACTGTGCAGGCAAGGATTCGAACTGGTGGATCATGGGGCAAGGGTAAGGGAGTGTGTTGTGCGGCATGGTCAGTGCGGAGTGGCGTGGGAGGGAGGCAAAATGGCAAGCACAGGGTGAAGGCAGGCAGGGGCCGTGGCAAAAATATGGAGATTGGCAGTGTCAGCAGGATGTACGGCAGGATGCTGGCGGCAGCGCACGTCAGGGCATGTGCGGTGGGGCAAGGCTGGTCTGCGCTGCGGTGGGCCGGGGGAGTGCAGATTGGTGCAGGGAAAGGCACGACATGTTCCTATGTGGCCGGCCGAGACCCTTATGAGTTGCGGGATCTGAGCTTGAGAGTGTACGCTTGGAAATGTATTGCTAATGTGTTTCTTGATATGTAATTTTCATGATTCACAATTTGCTTTTCTATGCCAATTCAGCACTTGAATATTTTATGTTATTCTGAAGTGATATCTCAAACTTATCCAAATATTTTAGTCGATTAGTAATCACAGGAAATATTGTTCAGTGTACTGCCTCACTCTTACTCGCGTGAGTTTCGCGTTCCCCACCATTTCAACCCCAAGAGAAGCGCAGTGTGCCCCACCAGTGCTGGGGCGGGAGCAGTGCTCTGTCGCACACTGGGTCGTTCGGCCCTCCCATATCCTCGGGGACAGCTGTCGCATAGTATCGTGGCGAAGACTGTTTTTCCCGCCTCCTGAATTCGGTTTCGCCCCACACACATTTTCGAAATTCACGATTTTCAGGTTTTCGCCTAACTGTTTCAACGCCTAGCGGTTTCAACCCCACATAACTTGAAAAATTACCATGCTGACCTCGGGCTTTAAAGGATCTCTTGATTGGTGCCACTACAGTTTAGCTGGAGTTTCTGTGCATGCTGGGGTGGAGACTGCATCGTTTTGGAAGCTTTTAGTGGGAAACTCAACAACGAACCAAGGTTCAGATTGCTTGCTTCTCCATGGTATGGGGTGCGTTTCTCCTAGAAAGCTCTCAGGTTGAGACAAACATAACTGCACTTACGGTACTATTGCACTGCTTACAGGAGAAAAGCAAGAAAAAACTCCTGAACACTTGGCCGCTCAAACACAGCTCACTCATATTTCAGCCTCCCGTAGCGCACGCACACATTCACACTCTCTCCAACTGTCCTGCGAAGCCATAACCCTGCCCTAGGTGCTCCTCGTGTACGTAACCAACAGGGTTACCATCGTTTACAATCCGACCTGCCATCATGATCCAGTAACCAGAAATTCCCATCATTTTTCATCTTCCCGTCCCGAGAATTTAGTGTCAAGGACAACTCTCGGTTGTGTTTCCGAGCCATCAGTGTCACGGAGATAGACTGAATTGCTCTTGGAGGGAAATCTGGCTCAGTTGAAGGGAAAACTTCCCGTTCTCACTTCCAACGTTCGCCTTTCACGCGGCCTGTGGAGCGAATCTCCTTGCTCCTCTGCCGATCAGCCTTCCGCAATTCCAGCTGCTTGTGGAACTTCTTAAGAACCCGCTCAGCCACGGCCTTGGATCCCTCGATTCGCTGCGCCAGGCGCGCCGCTTCCGCCTGCGCCTCGTCCCACTCCCACCAGTTGCACTCGTCTTGCTTGGGGGGCTGCGGGGGTTCCGCCGGGTGATCTGTCATGCAAACGGGCGAAAAGTAATCATTATTATAGGAATCTTCAAAGATATCCTGCAGAGGTATGTATAACCTGTAAGAAAACAAATGAAATCGGGATTTTGGCCCTCAAAGAACGTGTTCGCATACCTCGTTTGTAAGCGGCCTTCAGCTTGGCGCGCTGTGCCTTCGTCATGCGAGAAGTGCACTGTGACTCCCAGCCCTTGGATGACATGATTTCCGGGAGCTCTAAATCGACGGTCGCCATCGCTTCTGGAGGTGAGAGCCTGCTTGAAGACTTCCGAAGTCCTTTAGAAAAAAGTTCGTTCTATGAGCTGACTGTGCGGGGGAGACTAGCCGGCTTCTGGGGGATAAGGCTTTCGAAAACCAAGATTATTCTAAAGGCTAATATACTCTGTGGCGCAGGTAGGAAAGTGTCTACTTTCTGTGGTGGTGGGTTGGGTAGATTTTGTGGAATCAACAGCTGAAAGAACTCCGAAAGCAGAAGACCAAGAAAGGAATGCGAAGTGTGATGGAATGGGAATGACTCGCGCACCCTTTTATGCTGTACCCACCCACCAACCCAGCAATGCGAAATTGATGAATTTTCTCCCCATCAGCTAAGCGAGTCCGAGTCGCACCTCGGAAGCGCAGCGAAATAGGGTTTTGCGTTCCACACGCAAGAAAATTCGGTCGGTACTGTAGCCGGTTTCGTGGTGATGGGTGGAGGTCCACGTCACCAGAAACAGTAGCGTGATTGGTGGTTCTTCCAGAAATTCTGGCGCCCTATACGCAACCGTGACTTTTGAAGACTGGATAAACCCGAACCCCTTTAAAACCCTGATGTACCCGCTGTAAGGTCCATCGCTGAAGGTGTTCAACATTTTTGCAAAGAGTAGCTTACAATTTCACAAATGGAGCGTTACTTGGAAGCAGCAAACGAAATAAAGTTATCGCTAGTAATCTTGCTGCTTCGCTACACAGATGGTTTCTCTGCTCATATCCACGTCAGACTTCTGAATCTGGTCCAATTGCACACCGTCAGTCCATGAGATTGCCTGTCCCACAAGAAGTTTGGCGCAATCGCCTGCCAAGGTTACCTGCCGAAATGAACCAGAGCGGGAATTTCGATCCCAGCGCGCGGCTGGCGAAGTTCGCTGACTTTCTGTTCTGCGACACGCAATGTAGCCAAGCTGCGGTTGGTCGCTTTTCGCCAGTGCGGTCCTCTGACAAATGTTCTGCCCGACAGACAAGGGCAATCGGGATGAAATGTGCGGCTTGGTTATCGCGCTTCGGAGGTAAATGTTGAGTCCTCCCCGCATTGAAAATGCCTCGCAATTTCTCAAGCACGCAATTCTGGCTAGACTGTGACAGGTGCAGTGCAGAGCAGAGTAACACCAGGCACCAAACTGGAGGAACCAAAGACTGCATCGTCATCGTCGTCGCGTTTTAGGCGCAACCGAGCTCAACAGAGGGTCGCGATCGCCTGGATTCCAGCCGAATAAACTCACAGATGAAACGCCAACGCTAGTCTAGAGTTGTATTCTGATATTTTTTGCAGACATAACTGGACGAGTAGGCGGATAATCTTGCAGACACGCAGAGTCCCACGGAACGGCTGAGATTGCAAACTCCTGGCAGAATTCAGAAACAATGGCACGGGCTAGGATGTGCGGGCTGCTGCTCACGCTCACCCTCTCCGCCGCTTTGCTAGCTTCCTGCCCGCATTTCGCGGCGGCGCAAGAAACGCCATCACCTGCGTTCAAGTTTAGCAATTACATGCTCAAGGTGACTTTCCGAACCTTTCAACTTCATGAATTTCTCAACTCCTGTCACGGGAAATACTCGTCATAGACTTCCTCGTTGACTCGCTATGCGTATTACAGAAGCCGCACTCCCCATTGTCCTGCCGTCGCTGTCGGCCGTTAATTCGCTTCAGATTCGTTTTTGCGTTACTCGACACGCTACTCCCCCCGCCCAACCTTTCCCCCTCTCTTGCACCTCATCGCCTTATCATGCGTCGCAGAACTGCCTCGCTCAAACCGACGCGTCGACTAACGGCGTGCGATCCGCCGACTTCGGCGACAATTTTGCATTCGGAGTGACGACGAGCGCGACGCAGGTGGAAGGCAGCACGTCCAAGGACGGCCGCGGGCCGAGCATATGGGACGCGTACTCGATGCTGACCGGCGCCATCGCCGATGGATCCAAACCCGCTGAGGCCACTCAGAGCTACGACCGTTACAAGGTGAGGAGAGCAGTCGACTCAGGTGGTTTTTCACCACAGGTAGGACCTTTCTGCTGCTGCTGGCCCTCGAGCTTTTCTGCTTTTTGCTACTCTTAATAATCCCTATGCTTCGTAACACCCTCACTTAACCACTCCCCGCTTCCTCGCCCTTTCGCCTTTCCCCGAATTCCTTCTTCCTGCCCGCCCTGCAGACTGACGTGAAGTTTCTCAAGGAGATGGGCGTGAAGAACTACCGCTTCTCCATTTCGTGGCCGCGAGTTGTGCCAGGTGAGTTGCGAATGTTACCACGTAACTTATATTCATACTCGGGAATGTTTTGGAGGAGATGGGAGTGAAGAACTACCGCTTCTCCATCTCGTGGCCGCGAGTTGTGCCACGTGAGCCGCGAATGGTACCAGGGAAGCCGCCCATTTCTCTACGAAATCAGTAGGCGTCTCGACAAGATGAAGTACCTCTTTTGAAGCCTTTCCCAAAAAGCTTTCCTTTCGCCCCTCTTCTCTAAGTGCTTTTGAACGAGATTTTCTCCGATTGAATTTCGCTTGGTTTTCCACCCGTCCACTCACCACCTTTTTCTGTGCCTCCCCCAAATCTCCGTCCTCCAAAATTCGCCGTATCCTTTGATTGTCGCAGCGGGTGTGGGTGCGTTGAACGCCGAGGGCATACGCTTTTACAACGACTTCATTAACGAGTTGAAGGATAACGGCATCGAGCCCGTGGTTACACTGTACCACTGGGATCTGCCGTTCCCTCTTGAACGCGACCAGGGGGGCTGGCTCAACGACACCATTGTGTAAGCATCCCCGATACTAGCATCATGCTCTTGTGTCACCACAAATAAACGATTTACGCACCACCAATATGTATTTCTATTTGTATTTTAATGTCTATTGCTTTGCACTGATATTCTTCTTGGAAATTTGCCGTTGCTGGTTGATTTCAGGCGAAGTTACGCCAACTACGCCGAAACGTGCTTCCGCAAATTCGGGGACAGAGTGAAAACATGGATTACATTTGCCGAGCCGCAGCAGATCGCCGTGCAAGGCTACGGCACAGGAGGCATGGCTCCAGGCCGCTGCTCGGACCGCACAATTTGCACCGCGGGAAATTCGTCCTCTGAGCCTTACATCGTCGCGCACAACATTCTGAAAGCGCATTCGTTGACGGTCCAGATTTACCGCCAGAAGTACAAGAAGCAGCAGGGCGGTCGGATCGGCATTGCGTTGGATTGCGTGTACCACTACGCGGCTGACGAAACGCGCGCTAGCAAAAACGCGGCGCAGCGGGGGATGGAATTCGCGTACGGGTGGTTCGCGGACCCGATCCGTTACGGAAGCTACCCGCGCTCCATGCGTTATTTCGTCGGCGATCGCATGCCGAAATTCAACCGCAAGGAAACGCGACGCATGCGAGGCGCCACGGATTTTCTCGGGTTGGATTTTTACTCGGCCGTTTACGCGTGGCCGGGAAGCAGCGCGGGAGCTGGAATCCCGTGGACCGACGCGCGCGTCTCCACTTCGCGTGAGTATAACGAGGATGCTATCGGGAGTTGCTTCCAAAAGTTTTCTCCTAAGACCCACAAACAAAACGCACGGTTATTTTGTAACATGTGACTCAGGCCTGTGTCCCATCCACTCATGTGTGTCCCGTCTCTCCTACCGTTTCCGCCTGTGTGTGTGCAGCCCGTAACCCCCGAACCGGCAAGTTTGTCGGCGAGCCGGTAAGCACCTCCCCTGTTGTGCTCCTTAAAACCAGGGTGCACATTCAACGCGGTTCGGCTTGAGATGTTGGGAAGGGGGTTTGGAGAAAAACAGTGATTGGCTCACGAGGGGCGACAAAAAAATGATTCCGCTAGAGCTTCGGGCATTTCGTAGGTGGCGGGAGGGGGTGAAATGGCGGGAGTGGGTGAAACCGAATGGCGGGAGGGATGAAACAGATTGGCGGGAGGGGGGGGAAACGAAATTGCGGGGGTGGGGGGAAACAAAATTGCGGGGGAGGGGGGAAACGAATTTCGACGGGGAGGGGGAAATGAAATTGCGGGGGCGTGGGGAAACGAAATTGCGGGGGAGGGGGGAAACGAATTTCGACTTGAAGGGGTTGAAAGCACACCTCGTAACCCACTCAGTCAAGGGATAACCTTTGATGCACATTCAGCTGAATGTGCACCCCGGTTTTAAAGAGTTGCTTTACGTTGGTGATTCACCCTCACTGCTCTTTGCACGCACTTTGTTTCAGTACACTTGCACACCAGCAGCTTTCTGTACCCCATACAGTACCCGGCGGTGTCTTGTCCAACCATTGGATAATCTTTCTCTGAATTATCCCACTAAAGCATCCCTGTCCTCTCTCCTCTCGTCTTGCTGTCCTCGCTACAGACCTCCTCGAAGTGGCTCTACGTGGCTCCCGAGTCCATGAAGAACATGCTGCTGTGGATAAAGAACCGTTACGGCAAAGATGCAGCTGTAATCGTTACCGAGAATGGTGTTAGCGAGTACAACGTGCAGGGGATCACGATGGACAAGGCGCTGTGCGACGTGCAGAGGGTTAACTTCCACAAGAGCTACCTTCAAAATGTTCTGGACGCCAAGAAGTAAGTTTTACTGTTTTGGGGTCGTGATTGTTAATGAGGGTGTTGCTAGCGAGTACAATGTGCAGAGGGTCAACTTCCACAAGAGTTACCTCTGGAGCGTATTGGATGCCAAACAGTAAATTATTTTACATATTTAGGAGGTGTGTTTGTTACTTTCCCTCCCCCTGTCACTTTCCCTCCCCCTGTCACTCTCCCTCCCCTCTGTCACTCTCCCTCCCCTCTGTCACTCTCCCTCCCCTCTGTCACTCTCCCTTCCTCCTGCCACACCTTCTCTGTCCCTTCCTGCCACTCCCTGCAACCCACTCTCCATGTCCTTTCCAACCCTGTACGTATCATTTGCAGCTCCAAAGTTAATGTGCAAGACTCGATGGGACCATGGACCATGATGGATAACTGGGAGTGATTGCAGGGCTACACACAGTGATATAGCACACTCTATTATACTTTCCCACCCACTCACCCACTCGTGTTCTTGTCTCTCTCCCATCTCGGCGATTCCCTGCTTTTTTTTTTTTGCAGCAATGGAGTGAATGTGCAGGGCTATTTTGCGTGGTCGATGATGGATAACTGGGAGTGGTCGCAGGGCTACACGCAGCGATTCGGCATGCTCTATGTCAACTTCACGCACCCACTCAAGCCTCGGTACCCCAAGGCTTCCGCCATTTGGTTCAAGAATTTCTTAGCTACTAGCTAGTAGAAGTATTTTATCGAAACCTTTACTGATTCTTGACTTGTTTACTGTAGGCCGAGGAGTGTGTAGCAGGGCGAAGGGGAGTGTTGTTTAGCGATGCCTCTCGCGTCCCCGTTAGTATCCTGGGCGCAGGGTGGAGGGCTCTCTCTTGTAGATGTGCATTTGAGAATGCAATTGTAGTGTAATGGTATGCACTTACACCAATAGAAGGAATATGTGATAGCTTCTGGCCAATCCTTGTTCACCTACCATACTATTCCTTAGCCAGGAATCCTAGCAGACAGATTAACTTTCATGGGGTGGCCTCGGGAGTAAGCGCACGCCCAAAGACGGCATCGTGAACAATAACCATAACCGCAGCATCAATAATACGCATCAGCGAAGTAACAATATCCACGTAACCTAAAAATCTGACACGCAAGCTTCAGTGAGCGAGCATCCATCGACAACATTATTTAGTCCAGGCAAAACTGATGGCAGTCTTCAGTTTTCAGCTCAGACCACAAGCGGTGCATTGCGATGCTGACTGGTTTCAGTAGATAGGTGGTGGTTGAACTTGGTTTCAAGGGTGTAGAGAGGTGCAATGCGGTGAAGTGCAGTGCTGTAGGGATGCCTTGCTATGGAGGAAAGTGGTGGCTGAACAGGGGTTCCCAGTAACAAGACTTTCGGGTGATGCGGTGCCAAGTGGTGCAACAGTGCTGCTGTGTGGTGCCATGCGATGCTCCGCTCTGCTACTATGTTGGGAGGTGACGACTGAGCAGGGTCTCAAATGAAGCATACAGGTCCTTGTTCTCAGTCCCAAATATCTCCTCTGCTTTCTTCAAAGTCTCCTGCTCAGACAGACCAACAAAGGGCGTGGGGGGAAGCGAGGGAGGGGGGAAGTGGGGGGTGACGATTGAGAGGGGTCATAGACGAAGCATAGAGCTAGAGCCACTGCTGCTGAACTGAACTATAAGTCGACTCAAGAGTCATCTAAGAACTCACCTCACGTGTCTTCCTGTGTGCGTTGAGCTCCTTGATATTCGCCAGGAAGAGAAACTTAAAGCAGGGCATGCCATGCCATGCCACAAGGCACCTGAAAGCCCCTTAAAGCGCCACTCACCTCGCGCGTCTTCCTGTGTGCGTTGAGCTCCTTGATATTCGCCAGGAAGAGAAACTTAAAGCAGGGCATGCCATGCCATGCCACAAGGCACCTGAAAGCCCCTTAAAGCGCCACTCACCTCGCGCGTCTTCCTGTGTGCGTTGAGCTCCTTGATATTTGCCAGGAAGAGGCTGAACTGCTCGTAGGAGAGAGATGCCTCCTGGTTGGCTTTTGAATAGACTCTAAGACAGTCATTTCAAAGCTCACCTCGCGCGTCTTCCTGTGTGCGTTGAGCTCCTTGATATTTGCCAGGAAGAGGCTGAACTGCTCGTAGGAGAGAGCTGCCTCCTGGTTGGCTTTTGAATAGATTCTAAGACAGTCATTTCAAAGCTCACCTCGCGTGTCTTCCTGTGTGCGTTAAGCTCCTTGATATTCGCCAGGAAGAGACTGAACTGCTCGTAAGACAGACGGTTCCTGTTGATAGCAGAGGCAGGAAGGATGAGAGGGGTGGGATGGGGGGTAATGAGTGGATGACTCTTGAGCAGAAACAAGTTCTTAGTACATATCTTTGCTCAAATTATAAATCTTTTTTTTTTTAAGGAAAAGGGTGGACCACAGTAGATTGCTCAACGTACCTTGCTCGTCGGAAAAACTCCTTGCCATCCACCCGGGGAGCTCGAGCTGATAAGAAGGGAGAGGGGGAGAGAAGAGAAGGGGGAGAAAAAGAGGGGAAGAGGGGCACAGTAAGAAACACAGGTATAGACTGGTACGGACGGTCACTACAAAACTCCTTGCCATCCTCCCGGGGAGCTCGAGCTGACGGGAGGGAGCGATGGAGGAGGGGGGGAAGAACAGGGGGGAGGGAGGGGAGTGGAGAGGAGTGGAGAGGAGTGGAGAGGGGACAGGTATGGAAGTGTTAGAACGGATTGTTGGGTCGAGGTGATTCAAATGCTCGTCGGAAAAACTCCCTTGTCATCCACCCCGGGAGCTCGAGGTGGTGGGAGGGAGAAGGAGAGGGAGAGGGAGAGGGAGAGGGAGAGGGAGAGGGAGAGGGAGAGGGAGAGGGAGAGGGGAGGGGAATGAGGGGGAGAAGTGGGGGGAAGTTAAGGTGTGGCAGCAGTTCGTGGGTGTGGACGAGGAGATGTCGGAGGTGTGCAGTGCAGGACAGGGGAGAGACAGCGGTGGAGCCGCGGGGAGGAGTGTTTCGAGGCGACTCAAAACACAGCTTTTATCATGAGAGGATGTCGGAGGTGTGCAGTGCAGGACAGGGGAGAGACAGCGGTAGAGCCGCGGGGAGTGTTTTGAGGCGACATTTGAGTCGACTCAAAAGTCAGACCGGGGAGAGGCAGCGGTAGGGCCGTGGGGAGGAGTGGCGGACGGGGTGAGGGCGGGGAGACACACACTCATACTTCCCCTACCCACGTGCCAACACTCATTCTCACCTTCAGTGCGCGAGCGGGGAGAGGCAGCGGTAGAGCCGTGGGGAGGCGTGGCGGAGGGCGTGAAGGCGGGGAGAAGAGCGAGGGGGTCATGGAGGGCGTGCGTTGGGGGTGGGGGAGGGGCGGAGCGTGGTACTGGCACTAGTGTGTCCGCGGGGAGTGGCTCACCTTCAGTGCGCGAGCGGGGAGAGGCAGCAGTGCTCCCGTGGGGAGGAGTGGCGGAGGGGGTAAAGGCGGGGGAGAAGAGCGAGGGGGTCATGGAGGGCGGGCGTTGGGGGAAAGGGGGGGTGGGGGAGAGGGGGGGGTGCAAGAGTGGGAGCAGTAGAACCGTGGAGAGAAGCTTACCTTCAGTGCGAGAGCGGGGAGACGCAGCAGTAGAGCCGTGGGGAGGCGTGGCGGAGGGCGTGAAAGCAGGGGAGAACAGCGAGGGGGTCATGGAGGGCGTGCGTTGGGGCGTCCGAAGGTTCCTGAGACTCGCGCTCACACTGCTGCTGCTGCCCGTGGTGCTCGCTGCTGCTGCCTGTCCGCCAGTCGTGATATTGCTGCGACCTGCACACGAGAGGAGTGGGAGAGAAGGAGAAAGAAGAGAGGGAGGTCGAAGGTTCCTGAGAGTCGCGCTCACACTGCTGCTGCTGCCCGTGGTGCTCGCTGCTGCTAGTCCGGTAGTGGGAACACTGCCCCTAGCTGCAAGCAAAGGGGTTGGAGACGGACGGGAAACAGGGGAGGAAAGGAGGGGGTCATGGAGGGCGTGCGTTGGGGCGTCCGCAGGTTCCTCAGTCGCGCTCACACTGCTGCTGCTGCCCGTGGTGCTTGCTGCTGCTTGTCCGGTAGTGGTGATGTTGCTGCGAGCTGCAAGCAAAGGGATGGGGAGAGAGGATAAAGGAGAGAAAAGAGGTCCTCAAATTCCTCAGACTCGCGCTCACACTGCTGCTGCTGCCCGTGGTGCTTGCTGCTTGCCCAGTGGTGGTAATGTTGCTGCGAGCTGCAAGCAAGAGGCGTGGGGGGAGGGGCGAGTGGGTGGAGGCGGGGAGCGGAAGAGTGAAAGGGGCATGGAACGGGGGTTATTGGGGCGTACCACACACTACCACACACAACCACACACTACCACACGCCATCACTCACTACCACACAGTACCAGACACCATCACACACCATCACACTCAATCAAACACTGTTACACGCGTGCCACGTCAGCACACACACCACATACCTGCGTCCTCTCCTGGACCCGCATGGTTCATGGCAGATGCCACGGTGGCAGAGCCAACAGCAGCAGCAGCCGTCCCAGAGACCAGAGGCAGCAGTGACAGAGGCAGGAGTGACAGGAGCCAACAGAGGCAGAAGGGACACAGTCGACTCATGAGTACCACATACCTGCGTCCTCTCCTGGGCCTGCGTGATCCATGGCAGATGCCACGGTGGCAGAGCCAGCAGCAGCCGCAGCAGTCAGTGGCAGTTATGTGAGTATCAAAGCACACGCATATGGCACACATCACTGCTACATACACCACATACCTGCGTCCTCTCCTGGGCCTGCGTGATCCATGGCAGATGCCACGGTGGCAGAGCCAGCAGCAGCCGTTGATCTTGCCACGTGGTCAACCCTCAGTGCTGTGCCTGCCCCTGGTCCTGCCACGCCTGCTGCTAGAGATGCCGAGACATCTGGTGGAGTGCGAGGGAGGATGAGGGGTGTAATGGAATGGGAGCAACAGGCAGTAGAGTAGGTAAAAGTCTGGGAGTAAGATGATACCCCTCAGTGCTGTGCCCGCCCCTGGCCCCGCCACTCCTGCTGCTAGAGATGCCGAGACATCTGGTGTAGTGCGAGGGAGGATGAGGGGTGTAATGGAATGGGAGCAACAGGCAGTAGAGTAGGTAAAAGTCTGGGAGTAAGATGATACCCCTCAGTGCTGTGCCCGCCCCTGGCCCCGCCACTCCTGCTGCTAGAGATGCCGAGACATCTGGTGTAGTGCGAGGGAGGATGAGTGGTGTAATGGAATGGGAGCAACAGGCAGTAGAGTAGGTAAAAGTCTGGAAGTAAGATGATACCCCTCAGTGCTGTGCCCGCCCCTGGCCCCGTCACGCCTGCTGCTAGCGGTGAAGAGACATCTGGTAGAGTGAGCGGGAGAAAAGGAAGTAGAAAGGGACGGAAGGGGGGAAGGAGGGAAGGAGGGAGGGAGGGAGGGAGGGAGGGAGGGAGGGAGGGAGGGAGGGAGGGAGGGAGGGAGGGAGGGAGGGAGGGAGGGAGGGAGGGAGGGAGGGAGGGAGGGAGGGAGGGAGGGAGGGAGGGAGGGAGGGAAGATATAACCCATCTGTACCTGTTTGTGTCTTGGTGGTTGAAGCACTCGACTCGATTGTCACGCTTTACTCGGGGACCGGTACTTTCCTGCTCACGGCACCACTCTACACGGAGTTAAACTTATCCTTACCTGTTTGCGTCTTGGTGGTTGAAGAACTTGATTCAAATGTCACACTTGACTCGGGGACTGGTGGCTTCCTGCCAACACCACCACTTTCCACCGCATTCAACCCATCCATACCTGTTTGTGTCTTGGTGGTTGAAGCACTTGACTCGGACGTCACACTCTACTCGGGAACGGGATCTTCCTGCCAGCCGCACTCACCACCGCACTCAACCCATCCATACCTGGTTGTGTCTTGTTGGTTGAAGCACTTGAATCGGACGTCACGCTCGACTCGGGAACCGGCGGCTTCCTGCCAGCTGCACTCTCCGCCATGCCCACCTGAAACACTCACAATCACACAGAATCATCGTTACAATCACACAGAATAACGGATATAGTCAGTCCCTAAACAGGTATAACGCCCTCTCCAATTCAACTCTGAGCTCCAGTCCACCATGTCACTCCCAATCACAGAATTCGGTATAGTCAAAACCAACATAGTCACAACAACTTGCCGGTTTTTTGCCTTTCTTTCCCCGTTCAGCTTCCTCCTCTAATAGTTTTCTCTCATTCACTATTTTTTTCCTCTCCCATTTCAGGCACCCTACCCTCCCGCCCTTTCCCCTACCCCAGCCCCCTCCCCGTCTCTCTCCGTCAACAAACCCCCCTTAACCCCTTCCCCCCTCCTCCTCCCGAACCTATCTCTCCGTACCTCGGACGCAGGTTCGTCGTCGTTTTCGTCCTTGAGTTGTTGCATGAGCGTGCGGCGGAAGGTCTCGAGCTGGTGAGAGGGGAGGCATGGAAACGTTCAGGGAGAGATGAGAGAGGCGTGCAGGAGAGAGGGGGAGGGGGAGGTTAAAGGGGGGGGAGGGGAGATCGGAGGGGAGAGCGAGGGGGGAAATGAGGGGAAGAGGGCCGGAAGCAGCTGAATGGGAAATGAAAGAACGAAACGAGAGGCGGGACGACGGAAGAACGAAAGAGCGTTACATAGTGCCTCTCGCCTTCGCGACAACTCGCAGCCTTTCCAGAAAATTATAAATACAGCCAACCTTGCGACGACTCTACTATCGGAATAAAGCAGCCTACCTTGGCGACGTCTCTGTTGAGTTTCTTCACCATCGCCACAAGAGCTGTCTTTTCCCCCGTGAGCTTGGCCTGGAACGAGAGCGGACAGGGTAGCGCACGTGGCAGTAAAATGAGAAGTTCACATGTTAGGAAGGCCAACTGGCAAGACAGCGGCGTCAGGTCGGACAAGCGAATGACGACAAAGAAGAAAGAACGGGGAGAAAAAAAAAGCCTTGCGCAGAGAGATTTGCGAGCCAAAGGAAGGGATCGGCATCACCTGGTACAGCGTTACCTTAGCCTTATTTTTGGTTGTTTCTCACCCAATCAGCAGTAAGCCCTGTTTGCGAAACCACGGCACACTTACTCATCTGAATCGCGGCCTTACCTGCTCTTCTTCTGCAGCCTCTCGTTTCTCATTGGCCTCCTTAAGCGTGAGTTCCAAGTCCGCCACTTTCGCCTCTAACGCGTTAATCGACGACTGGCTATCGCCTAAGCTGCCCTTCAGCCGACCCGCCTCCGCTTCTAGAGTGTGGATGCGCGCTGTGAAGGCCTGAGCGGCTATTAATCGGGATAAGTTAAGAAGGTCGAAGGGATCGGCGGGTAAGACGTCTTTGACTACTGCGGGGATTTCATCCTGGGAAATGACACCATTGCTTCCAACGTGATTCTCCATGTTCTTCCCAGCTATTGCTGCGAAATCAGCTGACCCTGGCGAATCTTGGGAGTGTCTGGAGGTGGTTCTATATCAGAACTCGATCGTCGAAAGGCGGGCCTACCCACGTACGAGAGTTACTTTACTAAGTATCGCTTAGACGACGTTGAAGCACGGTCCCTGCTTTAACGCGCTCGATCACTTGGCGGTGTCCCATGGAGAAAGCAGGCGTGAACGCTTTCGAAGCTGAGCCCGGAAATGCACACGAATCAGGACCGCCAGATAATGCTGTGGATGCGGATAATGAACCCGCGTACAGAACCTCTTTTTCCACCAGTTTTCCGAACCGACCGCACGGAATAAATAACCAGAAATATCAGCTTTATGACGTGGTCAGAAAGAACCAAGGAGAATAAATCGTGGTATGGGAAGAATATGAAGCGTGGACTGTCAGCGTGTAGTCTGGAGAATGAATCAGGGACGCAGTGGCTACTAACGGCAAACAAGGAACTACGTAGCACAAGGTCGTCGGTCACTAGTAACTAGCTATTTCTAGATGTTGCAGGGACAAATACAGTTCTAGATGCTGCCAGTGAGCACTTGCATACGTATGGATGGGTGTGAAGGCTTTGATGGTTCCGCACCTAAACTTTCGGGTGTCTAGGCAAGGCTTGGGGCAAGATCAGGCGGGAATTGTGGCTCGGAATTTTCGACCTTTGTGATGCGTTTCGCACTTAGCGGAAAAAAGAAGGGTCCTAAAACTACGCGGGTTAATATTTACACAAGTGAAATGCTTAGCCAAGAGTGGCATGATCCTGCTCGCACCAGCCTTTGTCTAAGCAAAGGTGCAGGTCCGGGCCACGGCTCCAGGTTATGGAAGCAGGGGGCGAAGCGCGCGTGAAGTGCGGAAATTCCGTACCTCCATGCTGGGCTCGGCGGCCCACGAATCCAGCCCACAGTGTCCCCCTTTACTACAGCAAATTTGGAGCACATGTTTTTCGTAGTTACATTCTGGTTCTTCGTATTATTTTGTCATCCTCGTGTTCTGCTGTTATTATCCAACCTAACTGAGGAAGCTTCAATCGAGGTTCCCTCGATGTTTGCGTCTCCCAGGATTTTGCTGTTTCCCTAGATATTGCCCCCCCCTTGACACGACATGTCGGGTTGACTCAACTACTTCAGTCGCTAAGCGTAGATGCCAGAACTTCGCTTACTCCCGCCCTATGTAAAGCGTCACGTAGCTGGTAGTAGCTCTTGTTCCGGTACTGAGTTGTGACTCGATAACCTAGGATCCCAAGTGCCGTCTCCTCAATCGCGTCGAATGGCCGCTTTCGTTATCTTGATCAATTGAGTCGGAGGAGAACGATCATCCGGTGGCTGCGACCAATATGTACGTAACGCAATGAGACGAATCGCTTTATCGATGCGCGCTCACTGAGCCTAGCTCACGCTGCGGGACGCCTAGGTACACTTCGAGTCGACTCAAATTTCACGAATTGCGCCGTTAAACTCGCTACTACATATCAGGGGAATCGATACCAATTTTCGCATCAGTTTTTGCCATGGCTTCACCGACAACCGACGGCAAGAAGGAGAGCTCGTACCACCACCATCACCACGCCTCCTACAACGCGATCCGCGGAAACCTCGAGCGCGCGCTGCGCGGAAGCATCGAGCGCATGCGCGGGGCGCGGGGGAGCATCGAGCGCAACGCGACCGCCGTCGGCGGAAACCTGGAGCGCGCCATCCGCATTGCGCGCGGAAACCGCCAATTGCCCGCCTACCTCCTCTTCCTCGTCGCGCTGATCTCCCTATCGGTCCTTGTTTCCCAGTCCTCTGATTGGACACCGTCCGCGGTCTTCGACAACGCCGATTCGATAACGGTCTCTTTTCCCGCCAAAACCGACTCCAGCCATCCGAGCGGCGCGACGGCAGAAGCGGCAGGCACGAATACCAATGGTGCTGGTAACGGACCTGAGGGTTCATCACAGCCGTCCGCTGGGGGACCATCTAACGGCAGCCAGAGCGCGTCACCTGCTGCTCCCTCCACAAACACTGCCCCCGCTAGTAGCAGCAGCCCCAATAGCAGCAATCCCAGCGGCGGTAGCAGCAGTGAAGGCAGCAGCGCCAACGCTGATAGTGGCTCCACTAGCACGGGAAATGGCGACGCAGGGAGCAGCAGCGGCAGCAGCAGCAGCGGGAGCAGCAGCGGCAGTAGCGGGGACAGTAGTGGTAGCAGCAGCAGCAGCAGCAGCAGCAGCGGAAGCAGCGGCGCTACTTCCTCTAGTGGCGCGCTGCTGACGTCAGATTCCCCAGTGGTTACCCAACTTTTGGCGGGAAACCTGACAGCCGAGAAAACACTAGTCTGGGAGACCTCCTGTCTGGGCGTTACTAAGGAGCAGTACTTAATCTCCGGGGCTAAATACCTCTACGTTCCGACGGCGGGCGACCTGTGTATGGGGATGGGGCATTTTAAGTGGAGCCTGGTGTGTAGGCTGTCTGAGGCGGCGTTCTTAAATCGAACGCTGGTGCTGGATACGATGGTGTGCTTAAACGGGGCACATAATAACGAGGGGTATGGGCTGGTGCGGCCGCTCTATGCCTACTTCGACTTACACGAGCTAAAGAGGTATCATCTGCCTGGATTCAGAATGGTGTGGGTGGGTCATGGGTGGGTAAGAAGCGGTGCAGAGGGGTATGGGCTGGTGCGGCCGCTGTATGCCTACTTCGATCTGCACGAGCCGAAGAGGTGAGAGGAGGGAAGGTGAGAGGTGGGTGAGGATAAGGAAGAGGGAATATGGAGAGGAGCGGAGGGGGAGTGGAGGGGACGGGAGGGGAGGGAAGAGAAGGGGGGGGAAGGGGAGGTAGGTAAGTGGGCGGGGAAAGGGGAGGGGAGGGATGTGGGAGAGGTTAGGGGAGGTGAGGGATTTGGGGAGGGGAGGAGAGGGGAGGGTAGTGGAGAGGTGAATAAAGAGGCGCGCATCACCACCATCCACCCTCCGAGTGTGATGAGTCGATCTTTCATCCACTCAGTTGTGTCGATCTTTCATCCACTCAGTTGTGTCGATCTTTCATCCACTCAGTTGTGTCGATCTTTCATCCACTCAGTTGTGTCGATCTTTCATCCACTCAGTTGTGTCGATCTTTCATCCACTCAGTTGTGTCGATCTTTCATCCACTCAGTTGTGTCGATCTTTCATCCACTCAGTTGTGTCGATCTTTCATCCACTCAGTTGTGTCGATCTTTCATCCACTCAGTTGTGTCGATCTTTCATCCACTCAGTTGTGTCGATCTTTCATCCACTCAGTTGTGTCGATCTTTCATCCACTCAGTTGTGTCGATTTTTTAGTCGACTGCCATCGACCATGCAGGAGGCACCACCGTCCACCCTCGGCGTATGATGAGTCGATTTTTTAGTCGACTGCCATCGACCATGCGGCAGGCACACCATCCACCCTCCCCACTCCCCTCCCTATCCCCCCACCCATCTCTCCACTTGCGTTGCTTCAAACTTCCAAGCCCCCCGCCCTTTCCCCCTCCCTGCCGAGTTTTGAGTCGACTCAAAACTCGTCCTTTCCCCCTCCCTGCCCGCATCTCTCCCATCTCTCCCATGTCTCCCATCTCTCCCATCTCTCCCATCTCTCCCCCTCCCGTTCCACAACTCCTCGCCCAGGCCACCTCCCCTTCACGCCACTACATTCGTGTGACTTTTGAGAATTCTCAAAAGTCACACGTATATTCTCAAAAGTCACACGTATATTCTCAAAAGTCACACGTATATTCTCAAAAGTCACACGTATATTCTCAAAAGTCACACGTATATTCCTCGCCCAGGCCACCTCCCCTTCACGCCACTAAAGGGCTTCAGAGCGGCCGCCCCATCGGCCCATCTCTCCACTCTCATCACTCCCAAGCTCCCTCCCCTTGCCCCTCTCCCAGCCATCTCCCATTCACTCCCTTGCAGGGCTTCAGGGCAGCCGCCCCATCCGCCCATCTCTCCACTCTCATTGCTCCCAACCTCCCTCCCTTCCTTCCTCCCCCCTTTCCCCAGTTTACGCCACTAAAGGGCTTCAGAGAAGCCGCCCCATCCGCCCACCTCTCCACTCTCATCGCTCCCAAGCTCCCTACCCCTTGCCCCGGGCCCATTCTTTCTCCCCCCCCTTCCCCCATCTACCTCCCATTCGCCAGCAGCAGCACTGGCAGAGGGGCAGAGGGGCAGAGGGGGACAGGAGGGACGTGCAGCTGATCAATTATAGTCTTATGTCATGCCTTCCCCCTCATTGCCAGCAGCAGCACTGTCAGAGGGGGAGAGGAGGGAGAGGAGGGACGTGTAGCTGACCAATTATAGTCCTATGTCATGCCTTCCCCCTCAATGTTCTCAATGTCTCAATTATCTCTTCTGCCTTCCTCCCTCCTCCCATTCGCCCGCTGAACCCCCACACTTTCTTTCTCCCAGCCACCTCCCCTTCACGCCACTACAGGGTTTCAGGGCAGCAGCCCCATCTGCTCATCTCCCCACTCTCATCGCTCCTAAGCTCGAGCCAGCAGCAGCGCTGGCAGAGGGGGAGAGGAGGGACGTGCAGCTGACCAATCATAGTCCTATGCCTTCCCCCTCATTGCCAGCAGCAGCACTGTCAGAGGGGGAGAGGAGGGAGAGGAGGGAGAGGAGGGAGAGGAGGGAGAGGAGGGAGAGGAGGGAGAGGAGGGAGAGGAGGGACGTGCACCTGACCAATTATAGTCCTATGTCATGCCTTCCCCCTCAATGTTCTCAATGTCTCAATTATCTCTTCTGCCTTCCTCCCTCCTCCCATTCGCCCGCTGAACCCCCACACTTTCTTTCTCCCAGCCACCTCCCCTTCACGCCACTACAGGGTTTCAGGGCAGCAGCCCCATCTGCTCATCTCTCCACTCTCATCGCTCCCAAGCTCAGTTTCCCCTGTCTCCCTTGTCCCCCTCATTTCCCCACGCCCCTTCCCCAGCCACCTGCCCTTCACCCCACTACAGGGCTTCAGGGCAGCCGCCCCATCTGCCCATCTCTCCACTCTCATCACTCCCAAGCTCGAGCCAGCAGCGGCGCTGGCAGAGGGTGAGAGGAGGGACTTGCAGCTGATCATTCGGAATCCCACTCCTTTTGTCAAACTCTCTTCTCCTCCCTTCCGTTCTTCTCCCTTCCCCATATCTCCCCCATCTGCCCCCCTCCCCCTGCCCCAGCCATCTCCCCTTCACCCCTCTACAGGGCTTCAGGGCAGCAGCCCCGTCTGCCCATCTCTCCACTCTCATCGCTCCCAAGCTCGAGCCAGCAGCAGCGCTGGCAGAGGGGGAGAGGAGGGACATATGACTGATTATTCGGAATCTCATTCCTTGTCCTTTCCTCCCCCCCTCTCCCTTCTCACCTTTCCCCAGCCATCTCCCCTTCACGCCACTACAGGGCTTCAGGACAGTAGCCCCATCCGCCCATCTCGCCACTCTCATCGCTCCCAAGCTCGAGCCAGCAGCGGCGCTGGCAGAGGGGGAGAGGAGGGACGTGCAACTTATCATTCGGAATCTCACCTCCACTACGGATTTTGGGTTCGCCTCGTGTGATGCACCCGAGGGGGCGGTGAGTGGCTGGCAGTGGTGATGAGTGGTTACAGATGGTAAGCATGGTATGGGTGGTGGAAGTGGCAGCAGCGGCGCTGGCAGAGGGGGAGAGGAGGGACGTGCAGCTTATTATCCGGAATCTCACCTCTTCTACGGATTTTGGGTTCGCCTCGTGTGATGCACCCGAGGGGGCGGTGAGTTGCTGGCAATGGTTGGTAACCAGGACTGCATGTCACAGTTATCATTCGGAATCTCACCTCTTCTATGGATTTCGGGTTCGCCTCGTGCGATGCACCCGAGGGGGCGGTGAGTTGCTGGCAATGGTTGGTAACCAGGACTGCATGTCACAGTTATCATTCGGAATCTCACCTCTTCTACGGATTTCGGGTTCGCCTCGTGCGATGCACCCGAGGGGGCGGTGAGTCTCGGGTAGCCATGGTGGTAACCAGGTGACTTTTGAGTCGACTCAAAAGTCACTTAGGTAGCCATGGTGGTAACCGTGTTACAGTGATCATCCGCGATTTCACCGCTCTTCTACAGATTTCGGGTTCGCCTTGTGTGACAAATCTGAGGTGGCTGGCGGTGCCTCTGGTGAAGTGACTTTTGAGTCGACTCAAAAGTCAACCCGAAAGGACGGTGTAGAACTAGGTGACTTTTGAGTCGACTCAAAAGTCACCTCGCCTTGTGTGACAAATCTGAGGTGGCGGCGGTGAGTCTGGGTGGGGTTTGCCTGCTCATGCCTCTGCCACCCCTCTTTTCCCATATTTTGAGAATTCTCAAAACATTACCTGAGAGGACAACAAATGAGGGGCTTTCTGCGCTTGTGTCTGCCATCCACTCCTCTTCTCTCTTATCATTCAACCCCTCCTTTCTTCGTCCCCTTGCCCCTTCCACAGTCGCTCCCGCGCAACTGGTCTCTGCTGCCCATGCGGAAGGAGCTCCAGTGGGTGATTTCCAACATTACACTCCAAATGAACAACAGCAACTACGATGTAGTGCACGTGCGGCGGGGAGACAAAGTCCTGGACTCTAAACGATGGCCCAATCTGGACAAAGACACACGGCCGGACAGGTATGTTATCGGCGCATGTGTGTGGGCATGTGCATGTGTGTCTCTGCATGTGATATGATTTGTAATGCATGTGAGGGGAGGGGACAAGATCTTGGACTCGAAGCGATGGCCCAACCTCGATAAAGACACGCGACCTGAGAGGTATGTGCACTTGCGAATGTGCACCTGTGCATGTGCATATCTGTGCTCTTGCTGTTATGTGCGGCGGGGGGACAAGGTCTTGGATTCAAAACGGTGGCCGAATTTGGACAAAGACACACCCGGCCTCACAGGTATGTGTCGGGTGTGGATGTGCGTGTGCGTGCAGCTTGTGTTTTGAGACGTCTCAAAACACTTCTTCAATCGTGTGGATGTGCGTGTGCGTGAAGCTTGAAGCGATGGCCGAATTTGGATTCAAAACGGTGGCCGAATTTGGACAAAGACACCCGGCCTGACAGGTATGTTTGATGTAATGCGTGTCTGCTTGTGCATCAGTGCATATATATATACTGCATGATCTGTGTGGAGAGGGGATATATATACTGCATGATCTGTGTGGAGAGGGGATATATATACTGATCTGTGTGCCTTTTCAACCCTTTTCAACCCTCTGAAGAGACCTTTTGCTCCCTTCCTCTTCCTGCCTGCCCCCTCTGCTGTTGCGTGTCCTGCCAGTCTCCCCAAGCGTCCACCAGAGCTCGTTCAGCCTGGTAGATTCCTCTACACCTTACCAGACCCAGGCAACCATGCCCCAGCCTTCTTCGAACCCCTGAAAGTTGATTCTTGAGGCGCCTCAAAATTCAACCCAGCCTTCTTCGACCCCCTGAAAGACCTGCCCGTACCTTCTTCCCCTCGTCCATCTCCACCACTCGCCCATCCAGTCTCATCAAGCGTCTACCGGAGCTGGTTCACCCTGGCCGGTTCCTCTACATCTTAATGGACGAACGTTCCCCGGGCTTTATTGATGCCCTGAAATGCCTTCAATCCTCCTGTTCCCTTCTCCACTATCCCCCCATCCAGTGTCATCAAGCGTCTACCGGAGCTGGTTCACCCTGGCCGGTTTCTCTACATCTTAATGGACGAACGTTCCTCGGGCTTTATTGATGCCCTGAAATGCCTTCAATCCTCCTGTTCCCTTCTCCACTATCCCCCCATCCAGTGTCATCAAGCGTCTACCGGAGCTGGTTCAGCCCGGCCGGTTTCTCTACATCTTAATGGACGAACGTTCCCCGGGCTTTATTGATGCCCTGAAATGCCTTCAATCCTCCTGTTCCCTTCTCCACTATCCCCCCATCCAGTGTCATCAAGCGTCTACCGGAGCTGGTTCAGCCCGGCCGGTTTCTCTACATCTTAATGGACGAACGTTCCCCGGGCTTTATTGATGCCCTGAAATGCCTTCAATCCTCCTGTTCCCTTCTCCACTATCCCCCCATCCAGTGTCATCAAGCGTCTACCGGAGCTGGTTCAGCCCGGCCGGTTTCTCTACATCTTAATGGACGAACGTTCCTCGGGATTCTCAGTGTCGTTCTCTCACACTCTTCTTTCGCACTCTGCCCCCCATCCAGTCTGCTCAAGCGTCTACTGGAGCCGGTTCAGCCCGGCCGCTTCGTCTACATCTCAACAGACGAGCGTTCCCCAGGCTTCAAGGCTTCCCCTATCCCTATTCCCTCTCCCACTCTATCTCCCTGCCAGTCTCCTGAAGCGTCTACCAGAGCTGGTTCAGCCCGGCCGATTCAGCCTGGTAGATTCCTCTACATTTCAACGGACGAGCATTCCCCAGGCTTCTTCAACCCCCTAAAAAACAAGTTAAACATTCGAATGCTGGGGAATTTCAAGTCTTCTCCCATTCCCTCCCCCACTCTATCCCCCCTGCCAGTCTCCTCAAGCGTCTACTGGAGCTGGTTCAGCCTGGTAGATTCCTCTACATTTCAACGGACGAGCGTTCTCCGGGTTTCTTCGACCCCCTAAAAGACAAGTTCAACGTTCGGATGCTGGGAGATTTCAAGGACTTATGGGCACCGGGGACTGCGTGGTTTCAAGTCTACTCGGACATGCTGGGGAAGGATGTTACTTTCGACTCGTACATGGAGGTATGCTGTGTGGTGGTGTGCAGTGGTAAGTGGTGGGATGCAGTGGTATGCGGTGGTGTGCGGTGGTGAGCAGTCGAGGCTCATTACATGCTGGGGGGAGATTTCAAGGAGTTCTGGGCGCCTGGGAGCGCCTGGTATCAGGTGTACTCGGACATACTGGGGAAAGACGTCACCTTTGACTCGTACATGGAGGTATGCTGTGCGGTGCTGTGCAGTGCTGTGCTGCTACCAGGTGTACTTGGATGTGCTGAGGAAGCTGTGGAGTTTGACTCCTTGTGTACCCTATTAGATCTCTCTCATTCAGGAAATGGTGGGCTACGAGGTCACAAGGCTGGTTCGGAATGCCATTTAGACGTACAACGGATCTTTTCTCCCCTTGCATGTTCCCTTCAACTCGCCTCAACTGTGCATGTCCCCTTCAACTCGCCTCAACTGTGCATGTCCCCTCTTGAATCTCTCGTTCAGGCATTGGTGGACTATGAAGTTACAAGGCTGGCTCAGAAGGCCATTGAGACGTTCAATGACCTCACCAGTGATCCTAGGGATGGCATTCAATGACCTCGGGAGTTGTCCTGTGTTGAGGGTGTATACTGGTAGTAGCTATCATTAATGTTCAGCAGTGTCACAAATGTGAGCAGCAGCATATTACCATACATTACCGTACCTGTTTCGCTACCGTAACAAGAATAAAATCGAGAGGCAGGTCCGGTGCCCCATACGACATAGATTTGCAGAATCCAATCAGGCTGAGTCGGATAGATCCCTTCTAGAATAATAAATCACACCAACTCAGACATATGCAGTGCTGTCCAAGGCAAAAAGGGACCAGAATCTCTCAATGCGTGCAGACAGCCATTGTGACTGACGTTGTCAGAGAGCCCATACTCTGAATTAACTGCTTGGGCGTATGCATGCGCCAAGGAACGAATTTACAGCACTGATTGGAGATGGTGGGCTTGAGGAAAACGGGTGAAGGGCTAGGAAGGGGAGAAGAATGATGTGTGTAGGTGGGGAGGGGGGGAGGAAGACCTGGCATCTACTTTGCCATCATCATCTTTACAAACTCCTCATAATTAACTTGGCCATCCCCATCCACATCCGCTTCCCTAATCATTTCGTCAACCTCCTCATCTGTCAATTTCTCTCCCAAATTCGTCATTACGTGCCGAAGCTGCAAAATGAAGAGTATGGTTCTTAGTGATACGATTTCTCCAACAATTTTTAGGGAAAAAAAAAAAGGAAATCCGAGAAAAAAAAAAATCCACAGGGTCCACGTACCTCCTGTGCCGAAATAAACCCGTTCTGGTCTTTGTCGAATACCTTGAACGCTTCCTTTAGCTCCTCTTCGGAATCGGTATCCTGAGTTAGATCGCACGCGAAGGTTACAAAGCGGCCTGGAAAGTCTTAAAAATAGTGCCTTGAACACTGACCTTCATTTTCCTCGCCATAAGGTTCAGGAACTCGGGGAAGTCAATTGTGCCGTTCCCGTCAGCGTCAACCTCATTAATCATATCTTGCAACTCAGCTTCAGTCGGATTCTGTCCCAACGACCGCATGACAGTGCCAAGCTCCTTCGTTGTGATGCTGCCTGAAAACCAAGAACAACATGAGAAGGTAAAATCCATGACAGACGCGGAACATTCGCTCGATACTATGGCATACGACATTAGAATGCTGAAAAAATTCGTCTTCAAGCTTGCTAATAACTCGTAACGCCATCTCTCAACCACCCCGGCAAAATCTGGCCGACGCACCATCTCCATCTTTGTCGAATAAGCTGAAGGCTTCCTTGAACTCCGCAATCTGATCCTCAGACAACTGGTCGGCCATTTCAAGATAAAACCACGGGTTCTAGTGGTCCCACCGTAACGAAAGTACGGATGAGCAAACCGCGCTAGA